AGGCCTACTCGGGACTGGGCGACCGAGTAGTACAATAGGCCACAACGCACACAACTATGGACGTTCTTGCTCTTATGAATTCGCACTCTGAACCTTCATCAATCAAAAGACATTCTACATCGAACACACCTTCATGGTTATCCAATCTTCCCCCATGTCACCTCTGTCCCCTTACATACATCCATATCTCTCGGGTTCTTCGAACGATAGTACTAACATTAGTGCCTCGGGTGGAAATTCTACCGCTGTTTCCTCGTGTCCAACTTCGGCTAACGTCCAAGTCTCACCGAATTCTCCACCAGCTGAAACCCTTCTTTGTCTTCGATGTCCTTTCAAACTAGCCACCTTTAATGTGCGTACTCTGATGCGTGTAGGACAAAAGGCGTGTTTAGCTCGTACGATCGAGACTATAGCTATCAATGTGTGTTGCATCCAAGAAACTCGCAATCAATACACCAGCTCCATTATCAGATTGACGTCACATCAAACCAATCTGCAAAGTTCCACTTACGCCTCTATGGGGACCCTGAGGATGCGGCTTCGTCTTCCTGGCGTCGGCGTGGCTCTCAATGAGAGAGCTGAAGCGACTCTCCTAGAGTGAATCCGTCAACAGTAGGTTGTGAGACAGAGGTTTGTGAAAAGTAAGTAGCCTTCGCCCCGAAACGAAACCTGTCGAGTCAGCATACGATCCAACGGACCGCAGCCCAGATGCAGTCAAAGATGAATTTTACCATAATCCATACGGCCTCTTGCAGGAGATATGAACGCTGGAGTAGGCCGGACGATTTCAAGTGAGGTGTACCTAGGAGGTCTTTCCAGACTAGATTCCTGTCTCTCGGAAAACGGCTGTGGGCTCCATGTTCTGACCACCGCCCATTCTTCTACAGTACGAACTTCAGACGCTCCAAATAGCGGTACGCCACTTGGTGTCCGCCCTGCTCGAGTCAGAGACGGAAGCAGATCGACCACGTCGCCATAAGCTACAAATGGTGGGGCTGAATTCAAGACTGTCGATCGTATTGAAGCACTCACCTCGAATCCGACCACTCATTAGTTTGCGCCGAGCTGTCCATTTGCTTCAGTGGGTGTTCCAAACGCATGATAAGCTGTCAAAACCAACTTGTCCAACACGATAACATCAACTAGCACTGGTCACTTATCAAGGATGTTCTGCATTCTGCTGGCTTAGTTAGTTGTGGTCTGACACGTCGTATCGTGACAGCCTGGATCTCTGTGTAGTCTCCAAGCCTTCTTGACGCACGTCGGTCCGACCTGCAGTGAGCATAATGGAACATGACTCGTAAAGAAACGTGGACTTAACGCAAGCCTAGACAGAGATCGCTAGATCCGATGGACTCAACGCGCGTCAGAGATGGAACTTGTTGCCACCATGGGTAATTATCGAAAGCGGTCTCGTCTCATCCGAGTCACCGATAGGAAGGCCTCGGGTATGAGCGAAACGATCTGCAAAGCTGACGACTCGCCTATCCATAATCAACCGTGATGCCTTGCATGCTTGGTGGAGCAACTCATGGCACAAAGTATGGTATGTGCTTGGCACCGTCCAACTGCAAAGTGCTTGTTCAAGACTGGCAGGAGGCTGTGCTTGCACTCACCCTCTGTGGTGAACAGTTAGAAGTAGTTGAGAGCTTTAGGTACCTCGGGAACTTGATCACAGCTGGTGGTGGTGGGGGGATCACATAACCAACGGCGAAAGCTAGAGCCGCTTTCGCCAACCTGCGACACCTGTGGCGGCACCATGACATCCGACTATCACTTAAGGGAACAGTGTACAATACAGCGGTTCGTGGACGTTGTGCTTCATGGTTGTCTCTGCGTTGAGGACACTAATCGACTTTCTGTATTTGACCATCGATGTCTCCGAAGCATTGATTGTGTCTGGTGGGAACATCGGGTGAGCAATGACGAGGTCCATCGCCGTGTGCTGGGTACTGATACACCTTCTATAACAAAAGAAATCGTTCTACACCGCCTCCGATGGCTCGATCATATTTTACGTATGCCTGTCAATCGTCTACCCTTCCGTGCTCTTTTTGCGCATGCTGGGGAAGGCAGGAAGAAACGCCGCCGGGTCAGACCACGAGGTATAAGGAAGCTGGCCTCAGCTTTGGCTTCGGTTGGTGCAGCCCGCCTTCCAGGTTGGGGTCCAGGGGTTGAGGATTGTCGATGTTGACGCTAAGATAAATGGCCCAGAATAGAAGTCGGTGGCGCGAATGCTGTACGGTCTGCCTGTCGAGATCGCGTCCCCCGTAGAAAATAATCGACAAACTGACACAAAAAACACCAAAATGCGTACGGTGAAATGCAAAACNATCTATTATTTTCCATTGTAACCGTTTAACCTTCTTTTCACTCTGTTCGGTACCCCAATCCACCCATCCTCTGTTTCTGTTATTATTAATGTGGCGTTGGCACCATGCTTCGCAAGCCGGTCTTAAATATACGTATATATTGTACCGAACTAAAAATGACTCGTAACCAAGCAGAAAAACAAGTTTCAATCCGCCTTCCTTGTTGCACACACTAGACAGAAGTAGTATCATTCCGACCAGTAAATGACCCTTAAAGGTATGGGAAGTATAACAAAAACATCTTATTTGTTCAGTAACATTTGTTCATTATTTTTCGGTCGTACATGTGTGTGTGCAATTGGGGGGGGGATACCAATTGCGTGGATTTTCGCACTTGTTTTGTTCAAAAGAAAAATTAAATGAATGGAGAAACAGGAGATGGGAATGGTCAGGTTAGGTCATATGAGATAAAAATGATAAGCGGAAGTAGTCTACACCAAGTGTCACGGTTGACAACGCACGCGGCGAGGAAGAGAATGAGAGATACAATGAAGATTTGCACGGCGAAAGAGAACCAACGAACGAACCACTGTATGCAACCTGATGGGCGTGGCCAGTTTAAGGGGCGGGGGTAAGCAAAAAAGAGAACGACCGGTTGAGACAAGTCGGAATGAAGAAACAGGATGGACGAAAACCGAATATGACCAAAACACACATGTCTATGGAGAAAGCAGAATCCCGATGGGGAACTTGGGAAGTTGGTCACTGCGCTCAGAGAGTAGTCAAAGGGAAGGTCAAGCTGTACAATGTGAGAGAAAAGCCAGGTACGACGAGAACGATTAAGACCTGCTGACGCGAAAAAAATTTTCCTCTGTAGGATAAAGATAGAGTTCAGAAGAGGTAGATGACGATAGTAAGGACAGGAATACAACTCATTTAGAACACAGTGAAACGGGAAAATCTCACTTGTGCGAATTGGCGAAGCTTGAATTTTCAGGAAGACGAGTAAGAGAATGATTGCTGGTTCATAGAAACAAGGCGATCTCACAGGCAACGCAAACGAAAAGGTACCATGACGGTATGCCAGGCGAGTGAGGACTCGTGGTGACGAATAGACAGATACATTTCGTTGTATCGAGAAAAGCTAAAAGGAGAACGTGCACATGTGTGATCGCAAAACAGGTGGTGGCAGTAGAAGTCAAGGCGAGAGTGAGGCTGCGTGCGCCCGTATTTCGAACGCGACGTCAGACAAGATGAGCAAGACGAAGCAAGACGGGATATGCGTACTACAGACGTGAATCGTCAGCCGTCTCGAGGAAGGGAGAAAAATGCGATTCCATTCACAAATTCATAAACACAAACGGGACAGGGACACTATCCAGGAGCAAAGATAAATCAGAAGAGTATGGGCGATGGTAGTGGAAAGACATGTTAGGTTGTTCGGACGGATGTGCGTGAGTTGGCTTCATTTACGTTTATCGTCACCACTACCATCTTGCGCCGTTGCCAAACCATGATTACGATCCATTTCGAAATCTGGCGTTGGGCTATCTGGCGAGGCGACATGTTGCACGGCAAACATATGACTTTGACGTCGTAGACGCACTTGACCCGATGACACCAATGCATTCACATGACTGGCAATATTGTCCGGATTGTTGAAGGATGGGTTTCTCTTCTGTGCTGACGATGGCTCGACAGGGGAATCCACCGATCCTATTGGAACTCCACTAGACCCTTGTGCAGGCGACCAGTTTGAATGAACAGCCTGAAATGAGAATTTAAAGCAAGAGAGATAAGAACATGCTTGGGGGGAAACGAAGAGCATTCAACTACGAAACTGTTTGCTCACCGGTAACTGTCGAACGGGATCACTATGTCGTGCGTGTATCGGCAAGGGAGTTCGTAGTCCGGTTTGATAACCAGAGGGAAACGATGAAGTGTGACTCATCGATTGNGTAAATAAGGTGAAGTTGACTGGGATGGGAGGCAGTTGATTGTTGTCTGTTGAACTGGAGCAGGCAACGAGTGATGAGCTGATGGAGTTGAATTTGTGGGACCGGGGCAATAGGGTCCAGTAGGGTTACTAAATGAACCGGGTTTAGGACTAGATGAACCTGGGGAGCTACTGGACGACAAATCGCTACCGGAGTACCAGCCTGTCGAACTAAATGAGGATGGACCGGAACTAGGCGGTGCTGAAGATGTCGATGGGACAGCATAGCTATGCGAAGGAACCGGGACGCGTGAGGTTGCAACCCAGTCGCTTGAACAAGGTGGTTGTGTAGTTGATGACGACGGTTGGAATGTAGGCGTTGCCCCGGGGAGTACTTGTGATGAAGTGACAGGAGTGATCACGGTATTTCCACTTCCACCGACCGCCGCCAACCGAGCCCGATGTTGTCGTTCACTGAGCTGACGTATTAGCGGTTTTTCGATAGATCTGTCAACGAGGAAGCCAAACGAAAATGAAACAAATAACTAGACCCAATTGGACAAAGGTAAGAATATTTGATCAATGAAACTATTTATTTGCAGGTAAAGTGAGGACAATTTCACAAAACAATTTTCAATTGGAGTGATAATTTTAATACAAACAACAGAACAAAATCAGGCTGAGCATAGGAAACAACTCTGAGTCTTACGAATTACTTTATCCTTTGATGAAATTCATCCTGGAAATAAATTCTAACAAAGAATAAACACGTACCTGCGATGAGCTGTCAGCTGAGCCGGATTAATGGCAGCTGATTGTTGAGTCATTGAACCGAGTGGAAGTCCGAACCGTTGTGCAGAAGCCAACGTGTAGCAGTTGGGACCCAAGCTTTTTCCGTACGGATTATTATTTGATCCGACCCCCATAGCTTGTCCAGCTGTGTTTGGTGGACGATTGAAAGACACACCCTGCGTGTCCCTTGATTTTCCGTCAACTCCCGTGACCGCGGAGTCCGAAATCGTATTCCGAAGTGGCTGTGATGGTTGCTCTTGTGACAGCTGTTGTTGGTGTTGTTGCTGTTGCCCAGGGTTCACGTGGCGTTGTCTGGCTTCGCGAATCGTCAGTCGACGACTGGAACGCCTTAATACTGACTCACGTGCGGGAACTGCCTCCTTCTCTGTGTTAGTTTCTTGACGTGGTCGATAAGACACACCAGCACGAGCAGCAGGCTTGGATTGACTTGAAGCAGATGGAATGTTAGGTTTGTCAGGATGCGTGTGTTCCAAATTGGAACGTTGTGCACCAGGAGCAGCACGTGACACAAATCTACCAGCCGGGCGCCAGGGGCCGTCGGAGCGAATGAAACTTTGATTGATTGGTGTAGCGTGCAGTCTCAGCTCCGGACCACTCTGAAATCGAAAAGAAGATTTAACTAGCGTTCAGAAGGTTAACACGAAAAAAACATGAATGCGGTTGCACTTGTGGATGAATTGATTGCCCGCCAAAATTGAACCTGAAAAAAGAATAAATCAAAACCCATGGGTTGCTGATTTAAAAATGATATCTAACAACTTCGAGAGTTGCACTCTGACCATCTTTTTTATTCATAGAAATAAGTATTTTATGAAAGTGACGGGTGGGTATCGAAAATGTTTAAATCGTTAGTTAGCGAAACAAAACCAATCAGTTTCATCAATCGGAAAACCACGCATCGTCAAATAAGAGCACACACAGAGAGGTACAACACCCACCTGCAAGATCAGTTTGACCACTTGTGTATGATACATGCCCAATGTGGACACACCGTTGATGCTTGTTATCAGATCACCCTCTCGGAGACCAGCCCTTGCAGCTGCCCCATGTTGTTCGACACTGAGAACCAAATGATGTAAGGTATAAGCACTAGAAGAGCCAAAGTAAACCCGTATGGCACGAATAGTGAACCCATAGCCCCATTTACCCTTACGAATCACAATAGAGCCCGAACGACGCGACGCAGCAGGAGTAGGTTCTTTGCTCGATTGTGAAGCTATGGCGCGGGACAGACGACGATCTGCAGTGTGCAATCGTGGTTGTGATGACGGACGAGGTGGTTCTGGAGCGTAAGGAGAATGGTGTAACTGCGAGCATGATCCGTCCGTAGTAAGAACAACCAACGGAGCCGTAGATCCTGCTGGAATTATGGTGTCTTCGTAGCGAGGGCGGCTCACACCAGGGGGCTTTGGTGATTGAGGAGGTGGTATGAAACTAGATGTAAGTGACGTGTGCGATGTGCGCGGGGACCTGTCGCTAACGATCCATTCCGACTTCCCTATTTCACTGGGATCATGCCACACGACAGAGTGTTCTAGTGGAGGTATCGGGGTGGGAACAGCGTCACCCAGGACCATATCGCCGGTGACATGAGGCAATAAATGAGGAGTAAGAGTGGTCAGCGAGAGCGAAGAGGATGAGGAGGACGAAGCAGAGGAAGTTGTATCTGGTGTGGCTGATCCCGTCGAATGGGACGGGCTGGTGGACGAGGGGACCTGCTCACAGGGCTGTTGCGATGCCGGTTGAGGGTGAGCAACAGACTTCTCGCATTCTTCTGGAGTTTCTGTGAAAGAAATGGTAGGATGCTTTTGGTTGTTCCAGTTAGGGGGATTCTCCACATCACTGGACGAACAGCTAGAGTGATATGCCAGTGAACTGTGCTGAGATAGTTCTAAACTAGAATTGGAGTCAGATCTCTTCGTAGAATACGTGGTTGCTGCAGGGAAATCGGACCTGGATGGCAGTGGCTTCGAGTCCTCAGGTTGTGAATGAGTTAGTTCTTGCTCACTGTTCGATTCCAAAACAGGCTGAAAAATAAGTAAAAAAGGAAATAGCGTGACTATGGTACGGACGGATTGAGTCGCATGATTAGACTTGGGCATACTGTATGCTAGGCAAAGACTGACGCTGATATAACAGGAAATCACAGTGTCAATGTTAACCCCGGATCTGCACAAAGCTTCAGTGTCTCAGGGTTGGAATGTGAAAGTTTAAACAACTACAGCAACAGTCAGAGATCTGCACATCAGAAGCAGTGAACCCAGCCAAAGTGGAACAAAAACACGAGGTTGAACTTGAAGAGACCTATAAAAAGAATCTACCAGACAATATAAGTTGATGAACAACTGTGAGTTCAGTTTCAGTTTGTACAACTATTAACCATGCACGTTCGTGCGCCGGTTTTGGTTGGTCATTTGGATGAACGGTAGGAGAAAGTAGAGTCGAACAGAAAACGAGGAATTTCAGTGATCTAAGATTGCAAAGTTGAGAGGATGCACGAACGCCACTGTTTACCACACTCAATCACATCACTCAGTGTCTCTAATCATCGGATACGATCATCCCGAGGTCCCCAGCCAGGGAGCATAATAGGACCTACGTGACCCAGTCCCCTGGTTAGGGATTTTATACCCTCGTGCCAGGTCGTAGGTTGACCAGCCTTGGATTTTCCCACTCACTATCTGACCCGGCAAACATCGCTCACCATTGCAGTCTATTAGGTGAAATGCGTAACAAATGTGAGTAGAGAAGCTCCTTCAATTGTCGCACGATTACACAGATGGGACACAAAAAACAAACATGAACCAACTATTAGGCAGTGGGTCGTATTATATCGACCAGAATGTAGGATCAATGGACTTGACGCTTCATCATGCCACCTAGTTTTATAAACATTTCTTGAATCAGATGGCGTATCACTCGATAAAAACGAAATGGATTTTACAATTTCATTGAATAAAGAAACACACTTTTTCACACTCTTTAGACTCCACAACAACACCTGAGCGTTGTTTCGTTACTGTAGTGGAAGCATCAGTCCAACCGGGGGCCAGTGATCCATCCACAACTGTGATTCCTGCAGCCAGTTCGGCCATTCGAGCTTGCTCGAGTACAACGGAAAACCGTGGAGAGTAGGATGCAAACGAATGAAAAACTCCTCTGGCTTCACTGTCTTCCGTTCCGTCTCCCATGGGCAAATCCTCCTCTGCTTCTTCCTCCACATTCATTGTCGTGCGTCGTTTTGGAGCAGCCGTGCTAGGTGCATTGGTTTGTTCGTGATCCCCATCTAGTGACAAATGCTGGAGCATATGCAAGGCTGTACGTCCAGCAGCGGATTCAGCAGTCAATGTGTTTGTCGCATTAGCCAACTCTTGTTCAGCCCATTCCACAGAGGCATCTGTGTTCTCCCCGGAGAATGATTTAACTGAGGGTGAAGGGTGACCATTATTTAAAACCAACGAATTATTGCAGCCGGCTAACTGCGCTCTATCTCCCAAACTGTGGCATCGACGACGTTCACGAGCCTGTTGCTGACGTTCACGACCGAGGCGCGAAGCCGCCGGACGTCGAACAGTGGCCGGGCTGGGAGCAAGGGCGGAAGAGGAAGAACACAAGAACGAAGCTGATCGAACCTGTTCGGGTGGATTAGCCGTGGGAGCCGGGGAAGAACGACCGCTGGTGAAAGAAGAACATTCAGCGGGAAATTGTAAATCTTCATCATCATCTAAGTCATGTTGATAGCGATCTGTGCGAGGATCAAAATATGAAGTGTCTTCATCGTGCTCCAGCTGTGGTACGAAGGCGGCCTTCTGACGAAGCAAATTATTCCAATCCACCGAAGGCGGTCCAGCGAAAAAGGCAGCCTCCTTTACTTCGGCTGCGTCGCAAGATGTGCCAAGGCGCAGAAGTGGATCACGCTCCAGGAGCAAGGTGATAAGTTCCATTGCTTCGTCTGTGACTTTCCATTCTTCCTCTTCAGGCCACTCGATCGGAGCTGTGGACCAAAATTGGAACATGGATCCGAATTTAGCAATCGGACTTCTTTCGATTGAAGTGAAAAAGAAATCACTATAAATGTGTTGATAGACATGTTATGAGACAGATGACGTATTTATGCACCACTATCCGATCGATCGGTCTCATCACCCACTACCGAAATGACGCTAAGGTAGATGACAGAAAACAACAAATGCAACAGTACTACGAGCACAATCAATACGATTGGTGCGATCATGACGAGAGTGAAAAGTATGACAACCCTCACCAGTAACAATCTGGGCGAACAAATCCTCGATAGATTCACCGGCAAAAGGTACACAGCCCACCAAGAACTCGTATAGAATAATACCCATCGACCACCAGTCCACCGGTTTTCCTGATAAGATAGAAATACAATGAGAAGAGGATGCATAGTCAAATAATAACCACCTCATAGATGATACGTTCAGCATTGACCAAATACTACTGTCCAGCAGATTGATTCAAATGACGTAAATGAAGGAAGGTGTAACGTTCGAAAGCACTTGTGAAATGAACGACACAAAAAAACGGATGGATTTTCACAGTCACCAGCGTTAGAGGGGGAGACAATAAAACCTATATGTCATCAGAATGTAACACATTCAGACATGCGACATGACATTGAAACATCACAACAACTGCATCGAGGAAGATAAAAAGTTTGACAACCTGAGTTTGGCTAAGGGTCCCCGGGCAATCAAAAGACATGGTGCTGCTCTTATGATATTATGACACAGCCGAAAACAGTCCAGTATACCCGAATGGTAAGTAGTTCAGTAGTCGAGCAAAATCAGCATACATACGGACTGTGAATAAAAGGTGAGATTGACAAATCAAATCGGGCTACCATTGGTTTCAAAGAACGGACACATGTGTATTGATCAACTTTCGATAGACGCAATAATCTTAGAATTGTGCTGATGTTTCATCGTGCTGCGTTTTCGTGTCTGGTACTAGCATCTGACAGAAATGCTAGAAAAGATTTCGCATGATCCAGTGTCAACTTTCATATATACATGAGGATAATCTCAAAGCAGTTTCCTCCCAAACAAGTTGAATAGGGAATCAAAGAAACTAGTAGTTCAAAATTATCCTCCTAATGTCTCATCCCCTTGGTATTACCTAGGTAACAGCTGAGTTTGATGAATGAAGCTGGAATCAATTTTTGTCGACCCATGATTCTGAATTTTGACCATAGACTAATGAACAATTAAACTACAATATCCATGTGTACAAATGAGAATCTGTCGTATGCCGAGAACCGAATCTTCGGCTCTATTTATCCCCTACCACTTTTGGCCCGGGACGGAGAGAAAGCGTTCCCCTATTACAAATCATTGTGTAATGAATAAACGAGAACCAGCAACTTAAAATAATGCACTATTTAAAACCACGGTTTGAACCTTGTAACATGGCGTACAGCTATTTCTAACCCAGTTTCTACCTCCATCGATTTTCTCCATTCTTATGACCGATCTAAGTAAAACGAGGTTGTGATGCTAAAGTGAAGCATACGCAATCGTAAAACAACCCAACATTAACTCTTTTTATCACGTGACTCGAATAAATGTTGCATACGAGGTGGCGGTACATTGAAGAAAAAGGTGTTCGATAAGGCGTCTCCGACCAAAAATATAATCAAACAAAGAAACAATATTTTGCAAGCACCAGTGTTTTCTATTATCTGACGAACTGATGGGTATTCGAACCAAATGGGTGGGTTGCACTTAATTACCTGGTTGTGTTGAGCTTAGGACAGTTTTGGCTCCGGATTTGCTCTCCTTTGTCAACACTCTGGGCTGTTATTCGCAATTGGGAAATCAAGAATATGAGTTCAGCTATTTGAGGAGGACAGATCTATGACCAGTAAATAACAGGGGATGCAAACAGTCGGCTTATTGTCTAGTAGATTGTGTCAGATATTTTCAAGGTAGTCTTGGATTGGCTAGTCCTTACGAAAATGTTATTACACCCGATAGTAATAATTAAAAACAGCGAAAATCACTGTATCATTAGATCAGCAAACCCACTGGGATTATGGAATATGAAAGGGGAAATGCATCTAGAAAAGTTTTTTCCTTTTATCTATCATGCTGGGGTTAGGCAAATTCAACAATATGACCAAAACTATAGATGATATTCAGTAGACGAAGAGCTCCTTACTACAAATTTACATCCCGAAGTTGAATTCGAGACAGACGAAAAGTGAATTCGCTTACCGTAACCCTGGCGTAAGATCACTTCGGGGGCGATGTATTCTGGGGTACCAAAAACCTGTTTGTCACGAAACATTTTGCAGTCCTTCTCCAAATCCAAATTCTTCTCGTATAAGTTTGTAGCCAAATTCATCAGCCCAATTCGGGACAGGCCAAAATCCGTGAGTTTTATGTGGCCTTCATGTGTGATAAGCAAGCTATGAAAATGCAAGGTAAATAAGGAGGATGCAACAGTAATGATCGAGAATGGGGTTCGGGAAGAGAGCAGGATGTGAAGAAAGTTGAACAGCAAAAGTACATCAAACAATTACATTGATAGAATCATTTGACTCTCCGATAGATTGATCAAGAAAATATTCTCGAAGATGGGCAGAAAGAAAAAAATGTCTTAACAATCACCTCCATCGAAAACAGAACGTTAGCAACAGCGAAAGCGAACAGTATTCTTCTAATGAAGTCTGACCTATGCGCATCAAGAAAGTTAATGCAAGCGTTGAACCTTACATGGCGATGCAGAGAACAAATAAAAAACTCAGTGCTATCCCAAAGGTAGTTTTGGTAGCAAAATCAAACCGTAAAACACCAGACAGTGCGACTATGCAGTGCATCCTGATCCTATGAAAGCGTTGGATTCCATGCGATTGAATTAAAAAACGATGACTTGTAACTTGCATTTTGGTTCACTTAAATAATGAAGAAATAAGACCATTTTTGTATGGGGAACATAAATCGTGGGCGAGCACCAAGTTTCGATGATACCATGCTCTCGTGGTCATAGTCACTGGTAAATGAAATATCACGGGGTTATTACAGTGAGGTAATAGAGTCAAGGTAAATCGATGAAAAGAAGGGGAGTATCAGGCTTCCCACTTATGACAACTAGTCAGCAGCACCCTGCTTGACGTAGTCTACCTTTCGACAGAGTGCCCGGGTCAGTGCTCTGGCTTTCACAAAAACATGATTACCCCACCCATTGTTGGCGTTTCAGTCCGAATGGTCTTTTATCGGGTGACCCACTCATTCGACTCAATTCACATACTTTTAATTCAATGAATCTACGCTATGAATTCAACTCGAATGATAAAATTGAGTAAGCACAAAAGGAATGAGTAAAATTTCGATAAAAACGCGAGCTAGTCCCGTACGTGATATACATGCGTTTATGTAGCTCAGGATTAGGTGGCATGCAATGGAACATGTCGATCATACCGTACGATAATGCAAATCGGTTATTTGATCCTTGAGTAAAGAAACGCGAGACCCTGATGAGATGGTGGGGGCTAATCAGCTGAAGAGAAAGGAGGGATATAAGCGAACAATAAGTTCAGTTTTTTACAACCATTAACCAGGCACTTTCGTGCGCCGGTTTTGATTGCTGTCTTTTGGTTGCCCATTTGGATAAAAGAGCGAAATGAATATTGGAATGNAAATTCAAGCGGAAGATGGGGAATACATATAGAGTGGTGTTAGGAAAATAACAAGTGGATGCACGAGCGCCACTGTTTGCGACACCCAGCCATATCACTCAGTGTAGCTAACCATCGGTGAACAATAATGAACAGATTTAAGCGTTTTTCTTTGTTTACATATATTCTGAAAGCTATCAAATATCTTTAGGAACTATCAAACACCACTTAATCGTTTCAACGCTGAATGTGCAGGCGAAAATGGGATGGAGTCGACGGTTTTCAGTACAAATGTCTGTTCTGATGCATGTGGTATATATGACTTCCATGGAAGCGCAATGATCACACAGACATATCATTTTGACCATTGAACTAACACACAACAGATATCAAAGAGTGTAAGATGAAACAAACAATTTTTTTATTCTTGTTGTCCGCTGTATCTGTTTGATCACCTTTGCACTCTATTTTTTTTATCCCATCCCCCCCTCCCGTTTTTTGTTACTACTGTTGTTACTTTAGCACCAAGCTTGCTCTCAAGGCGATGGTAAATGAATACGTATATATATATATATATATATATATATATATATATATATATCACTTAGGACCTCTTACTGAAATAAGTGATCCGACAGTGTATGAAAGGTAAGTTTTATCGAAATAAGTCGATGACGAGTTGGAAAAATGATGGCATGATCCTTATCACCTGAGTTGCATCGATTCTGATTGGAAACAGTGGGAGAGATTGAGGATAAAACTCAAGGCAAACGTTTCTGCTCATTGAGAAAACCAAGTTTGTTGCATAGGATGCCAGGTAAAAAACAAGATGGTTGATCGAAAGTGAAGAACGAATGCACTGCGTTTGTACATAAAATGTATCGGGTAACGAACAGAAAAATGTTGACCATCGTCAACTTCACTGAACCTTTATGCAATTTTTGTGTGATAACTAGTAAATAGCACCAGACGGAGTTCTGGCATTTGTTAAAACTGGTGAGCAATGCAAACTATCTGCATATCAACGCTCCGCTTAGTTGATCTGAGAGCTGGAATCTTTTTCTACTTTTATTAAATAATATAATAGTACAATATCTATCTAGGATGGGGGAAGCCGCCAAACCAAGGGCCCCCATAGAGCAGAGATTGGGGATGGCCAGGCGGTGGCGGTGGGATTCGAATACCCGTCCGCCGGGGTGACAATTTGCTGACTGTTAATGCCACTACCACCTAAGTTGTTTTGAAAGTTTATCACATCAAGTTATGATTTACAGCAGAAGGAGCTAACCTCATGGTGTTGCTTCACGATAACCTACAGCACGAGCTCTGAGATTTATCGTAGGGAACCAAACAGGACTTAAACAGGATAGGCGTGGGCGGAACGATAACGAAGATGCCTACTAGTAAGTTGAATGACGGTTCGAACCTTGAGGTATGAAATTTGCTTGAGCTGCTTTAGTAAAACCATTTCAAACAATAAAATTCGATTACAGGTCTAGGATGAACAGCCGCTAAGAAATCGAAACGGGTGACGAGGCACACAAACAAGGTGCTAGGAGATAGACAGATAGACTAGTTCAAGGCTAATATGATACTGCTTTGTTATCGTTGTCCTGAACACGATCATTCCGTTCACAAGTATGTGAGCTAAGTCATTCGCTAGGTCACTGAGGACGAAAGCTTGTACCACATAGCCCACTACTACCACCACCACCACCACAAAAGTATGTTTTAGGACAGTGCACAATAACGGTAGTTTTTAACTTCGCTGTCAGTGACGTTTGGGCAGCAGTAGAGAAGCACATGTGCTGATCACGATTCAGTCGGATGATAGAACATGTGTGCGCGATAGGTAAGCGCGGCACGTACCATCCGCTAAGATGCGGTGAATTTTCAAATAATCAAGTGGCCAGCGACATTTGAAAGCATGAAGACGATCAAGAGCTTCGATCTACTGAGATGATGCAATTGTCGGTGGTGCGGTTCCTGGATGAATTAAATAAAATTGAATCGTCAATTGTCTGAACTTATATTACGCGCTAATACCCCTGCAAGTGTACCAATAAACGGAGACTCATAGTCAGGAAGAGAAATCAATTCTAAATATAGATGAACAGAAATCCTTATTCACTATGTAAATAAAAAGCAGAATGTCGAACACCACGGTGCACTCAGAAAATGGAAGCGGAGGCAAATCCTGTACAGTTAGACACATACAGTTCAGCAACTTGCATCACACTGACTGCGCGTTTATTCAATTTTGTTTAAGCTTATTCATCAATGTGTCCTAGACACCAGACCAGTTAATTTTTCGTACCAAGATGGATTCTGAATAGCAAGGATCCCCACTGCATGTATTGCTGACAATCGGAGCACCTTGTAGATTGTCGTAAAGCGTCTTTCAGTGGGCTATCTCGGTAACCTGTTTAAGTTTGTCACATTCCCCATGGTATTTTGGCGACACCCGTTGTCCCACGATAATCAAAATTACCATTTTGGAAATCAGGGTACGCTTACCAGATTTGCCGTTTTCATATTAGGAATGTGGCTACAACATAATGTTGGCAATTGGAATGAAGTCATGAGGATGTGAACCTCAGATCACGTCAAATGGAGATTCGAAAAGTTACTCACAGGCACCGAAAAGCCCAATTAGTTGAGGATTAAAGGCTGTTTATTCGCGAGAAGACCCCCTGATGGTGTATACGACGAAGCAAAATAGTTGATATTTTCGCAATGGTTAGGGTAATGTAACATAGTCTCCCTCCTTGGAAGTTGGAATATTGTCGTATCCTGCTCAAGTAAAGCGAAAAAAGAGGCGAAGGCACACGGCAATTCCATAGGTTGAATATATATATATATAATATTATATTTAACACCAATCTTTACAGATACGGCGCCAAAATAAACATGGGTGAACGAAAAAATATGGGTAAAAAGCGGGGAAAATAAAACAGCCGACTTCTGGGAGTAACATTTTTTGTTTGTTTGCTTCACACCATTTTGAGTATTTTTTGCCTTGAACCCACAGTCCGTAATCCCGAGTGCCTCATGTTGTGACATGACGAAACAACGGAGTTTCGTTAGTTTTCGCCGATTAAATGAACCCATTGCTACACGAGTGTACGATCCCTGTATCAAGAAGAAACCTTTGAATTGGAGGGCGAACGTATGGACATTATACACACATACAAAAACTGATCGATTCCTTACATGTTATTGGACAACCTGGCAATATTCCGTCTCCAAACAAGTCACGGAACGTTTTTCTTCTCATAAAGATCATTGAACCGTGATCTGTTTAGCTCATAGTTTGGTCTCAGACGTGTGTGAAATACATAAAACACATTTTAATGTTACCTTCTCCAACCTGTGGGTTTTATCCTTGCATACAAAGTTTACCGGCGTGATTATGAGGTATTGAGAAGAACTGCTCGCCTGAAGTTGTGTTCTAAATGCAAGTATGGGTAAATTTCGGAATCTGAAATTACTCGAATAAACAGAACACCAGAATCCTTAGGCTCGCGGGTTATGTGAATTTTGTGGAAAACAGTGTTACCAACCAGATATCATAGATTCATTAGGTTTTAAATAATTCACACAACATTGGCATTGGGGTATCCTTGTTAAAAAATCCCTCTATGTATGGCTGTTGTTCGTCTGATCGTCAGGATGTAGGTCAGTAAGCAGTAGCACTACTCGAGCAGGATTTACACGAAATAGGTTAGGGATCAACAGATTGGCTATAGGACTCTGTAGACTTATCGGCTGTTATGGGCTTTGAGACCTACAGCGCAGTATATACCTAAAGGTTGGATTCATAAGAAGGTGAGCATGCAGGGGTAAATCAATCGCACATGATTTATTCATCTTGTAATCCTAATTGAAGATGTAGGAGCAGGCCCTAGAACGCACAATTTGACGTAAAAAAGGTAGGGATATTGTTTTTCAGCCCACATCTATCGGCTCGTTCAATGAAACAGGTCAAACACAAGTTTGCATGCATGAACCAAACCGTGAGCCCTAAATAAGTTACGATGAACTTTACTTGAGCGCGCCAATCCCTCACTACCAGAATGCACAGTAACGATATACGATGATGACGGATTAGTACGCCCAAAAAGACGCAGGACGAATCAGAGGTATCCAGAAAAAGTCGGTACAAAAATTGAAAAAAATATCGTCGCCTTCATCAGCATGATACTGATAGATGAAGTCCGTTGCAAACTACAATGACTGATCTGTTTGTGAGACTATGGGATGGAGTGTTAAACTGAATCGGGGAATTTATTGTTGAAGTTGAATGGAAGAGATGAGAGAGATGAAACAGGCTAACAATGAATTAGACTTGCCAAGTACCAAAATGCTAGGGATATATTCGTGAAAAAGAACTGTGATACACTGAACACTGATGAGCTGCATATACAATTACTAATCTGTAGCTTTCCATGAACATTGTCATACATTTCCTACTGCACTTCCGTTTCATATCTCGAGTGCATATGCTGAGATTTTCCTGGTATTACTTCATATTATGTTTTAGTTCCTCAGTCGATCAAGCGTTAGTTACTGGCTCGTCTCGAATGCTACAATTACATCGACATCTGGGCCTAAATCATTTCAACACAGTCTAATTCTCAAAATAGCCCTGATTCCTGGGAACAATGACGCTATACGTTTGTATACTTTTGGGAAACGTCAAAGAACACCAACCAGAAAAGCTCAAGACCTTTATGTATCTGTTGTCCTGAACCATTTACAGATTATTTTCTCGGACACCGGTTATCATTCTTCCAGTAGCTCTCTTCGATCCTTAAGCTTGCAAACATAACAAAGTTTGTGCGTGCTCCTTTCTGACAATATAGAAGCAGATTACTTTTGAAACTACAGATCAATTCATGTAAAAGCCTAGAAATTGTGATAGAAACTGCAATTTCAAAGCTGTCAGCAAAAGCTAGAGGTGCGCCCACAAAATAAAAAAACGCCGAGTGACGCTGGGGACGTCTCTCGAATCAAAATCCCAAGGAACTTCACAATCACGATCATGATGTTTGGAGCTGGCTTATCCTTTCCAAGGAGCCAGCCGCAGTAAAGTAAGCCTCCGAAAGCGTTAGTATGGTCGAGGCGGGTGTCTCCGGTTGTGACTGGTCACTATTCCCTTACACCTCGTAAAATGTCCCTATATGACTAGGCGTCGCAAATAGCTTCTGCTGAGGAATCCTTACCTACTGCCTAATTGTGGGCGGAGGTGTTTTCTCACCAAAGTGAGAGGACGAAAAGCCAACATCTGGGTTATAACCGGGTTGGCGAACCTTTGGCCATTCACGTAGAGCTGGCTAAAAACCCTGATTCCAAACCAAAAAAAGAAGAGGCGTACGAACCGCACGCACACCTCTCTGATTGTGGCAGTGGTTACCGGTTAGATTGGGCGTCAAGGTGTATTGGGCACCTTGGAGGTTTGACCCCGTCCAAAGGGCGTATGATCCAATGAACAGGACACCGGCCCCCAATGGACTGCGGACTGAGCTCCGTCCTGTTGTCTTGCAGGTCTGTCTTTCTAGCCAAAGACTTCAGGTGGGGACTCCAAGGTTATCCCCTTTCGTCGGTCAGGGTGACCGGGAAGTAACATGCCCAAACAACCTATGAATACGCATTATATAGATTTCTGAATGGTCCGAAATCAGTCCTGGTTGTTCTTTTATCTTTCGTATAAGATTCGTTCGCTATTGGCCGAAGAAGTACTTTCTTCCGATGAACCATAGACTTCCGAGTCAATTTAGATATTGATCGTAATCTACAAAGAAATTTTGTAGTCGAAACTGATGCCTCAAACATAGTGCTCTTGGTCATCCACAATTAGATCGCTCTATTGTATTTTGATGTACGATGTCGATGACCATAATTTATAGTTTAATGCAAGTTTCGCATATTTGGCATGCCACATTATCCACATTCTGATTAAGGAACCTCTTAGATGCCTCGGGAACTGAAGACCTCTTAACAACTGCGGGGTATCCACTAACACAATGATGAGTTATAATCCACAAGGCAATGGTTAGGTTCATCAGCTCAATGGGACAATATGGAGAACGGTATCCACAGACCTCTATCGGACAGATGTAGTGGTCGATCAATAGACGGTCGTGCTACCTGAAGTGCTGCATACTATCGGATGGCCGATAAATATTACTGTCACTGCGAATTCCGTGAACTTGTCTCTTCATAATCGATAACCTGCTGTCTGCACCATTTTAACTCAGTGGTTATAACCGCATAGTGTAGTGCGAAATCGAATCTATCCCCGCTCATCCCGGTATAATCTCAAGGTAGAGGAAGCTGCATTGTTGTAGAGCAACCCTGAATATTCGCGTAGGCGTCTCTATCTCTTCGTAATCTTGCTCCGGTAGAGAGAACGACTTAAACTCCACCAATCCCTTTGTAAGAGGATCCTTGATTGTCTGCTATGCAGTGTACCTCCAATTCGCAAATAGCTAACTTCGATCCGACAGAATCTTTCACGGAACTAGAAACATGCGTAGAAAAACCATTTATTAAACAATGTGAGGAGTGATATGTTAGTCTTGGAAACATGAGGCGCAGCAACAGATTTCTTTTAATTCATCGTCTACGAACCACATCAAGCAAAGCACACAGTAATCTGTCTTCTGAGTGATGATGAATGTTTTAGATTTGCTATTCTGTTTCAAATTTTGCTCTAATTTCGAGCACATAGCAGAACATTTTGCCCATCTTGTTTGAGGTTATTAGCCTCATTTTTGATTGATTTAAGTCTGTCACTCAGTCGTTGTCCTCTGGTTTGCCATTCGTTTGCTCGTACTATCTCCTGTGCTACACATACACGCAAATGAAGAATGGGGATTTCGAAAAAGTCGCGCATTCAGTTTAGTGTTTTCGACAAAACACGCAAATACCATGTTCTTTAGCATAAGCATTCTTAAGGCTCATTCTTTCTGAGATAAACAAATTGCTGGGGTGCGAGGATCATCATGCAAATCACCTTTCTCTGCCACACAGATTTCATGCCATGAGAGCTACGAAATAATATGGGATGATTTGGGTAGTATATTTTGAACAGTAGAGCTTAGTGTTGAGGTCAGGAAACAGCTGGTCACAAGTTCGCTGTCACAACGAATACGAGAAATTTTAGACTTAATGAGCCATAGCGATGTTCTGTTCAACAAGAAACCAATTTCGCATCATAGGCGATTAGTGGTCTTTGAAAATGAGGCCGTGATATGACTAAGAGGATGTAGGTGACAATAAAAAATATTGAAACCAACACATTGGCATGAAAACGTTAACAACATGACCAAGAAACATTGTTTTAGCCGATTAGTGGGATACGACAGAGAGAAAGGAGTCGAACGGGGGCCAGAGTTTATCGGTTTCTCGTTTCATAATGTGTCAAATGCCACAAAAGTGTTGACGTTTAATAACTTAGGTAATGTACAGAAACACTCTACCAATGCATGACTCACTGATGCGAGTCTTATATATATAAAGTAAGCGGCTTTTATTAGTACGGTACAATGAAGGGGGGCAACCATCTCACATCTCTGCTGCACCTAAACCCGGTCTGTAATGAGCAGCCTCTATATCACTTACTTGTCCGGTTTCAAATCCCGATGAACAATCCCATAGTTGTGTAGATATTCCAACGCGAGCACAGTTTCGGCGAAATAGAGCCGGGCCAAATCAAGCGGTAACGGGCCACCAATGTGTTTCAGTAGTGTGGCACAATCACCGCCCTCCACATATTCCATCACCATACATAAGCATTTCTTTGTTTCGAAGGTACAGCACAGACTGACCACAAACGGATTGTCAGCGAAACTCATGATATCCCTTTCGGCAAACACTTGCTCGACTTGGTTACGCAATTGCAAATGTTGTTTCCGTATCTTCTTCAGTGCAAATCGTTGTCGGGTTATGCGATGTCGGACCAAATAGACTGCGCTGGAACAGACAAAAATCAAAGAGATAATTAGCGATGAGAGGGGGGGTGAGTAAGCATTCGCCTGTGAACTACGAGCAGTGTGCACGTGAGGGTTGAAATGTGATACGGAAACAAAAGTGACCTCCTAGGGGAAGTACAAAAAAGTCGGTTCACTTTGACAACAAATGGTGTCGAACTGCGCAACTATCATCTAGTTCAGTTCTACTCGTTAGAAAACACATCCAAATGGAAAATGCTTATCGACTCGCGATAATAATCCTCGCATGTCTTTTGACTCCAGACTGAACGGCAAGATTGGGTGAACAATTACAGAAACAACTTTGCTTACCAATATGGCCCCATTTGCACAATTATCTCAAAAGATGGGATTGCGCGTGATAAGCGAATACAAACTACAATGGGGAAAACTCATACCACAGACAGTAATGAATGTTATAAAAAGGACAACTTGTGAACGATTTTTGGCTGCTGCGGACAGATGCAAAGTAGGTATTGGACATATTGGTGTCGATAGGCGAACTCAGATGTTTACCATCACAGAGAATTCGATATGAAAACCGAGCACTTAAAGCGATCAGTAATACAATCATTTTGCCAATATACAGATCCAGATTGACTTTAGGTAGAAACAGAAATTAACACTATTTTAACACATTGCGACCAAATGATGTTAAGAGTGTATTGAAAAACCGATGCGCCAGGTGTTGTTTTATTGCGAATGTTATACTGTTAATAACACACACACAGGCTTGACAATCAAATGACTCAGAGGAAAGGATCACAAGTCAACAGATATTTCATCGTGTGTGAAATAATAATTTGCGTAATTGAATGTCTAATAAGTAAGGGTTGATCAGAAAAAATATTTTCATTATAATATTGTTATCAAAACATACCCGTAAGCTCCATTAGATACCAATTTTATAATCTCGAAATCTGCCTCGCAAGGAGGTCTAGGCGGAACACACGGACGCGTAACAGAATGGCGACCACCCCAATCAGCAGAGTGAGATGAATCGGAGCCACTTTTACGTCGAACGGGCCAGGATGGTGGAACATCGGATAGCATGCCACTTTCCGAACCGATGGATGAGGCTGGCTGTCTTAGGCATAGCTCCGAGGCGCGATCGTTCACGTACGATTCGGTAGCTGAAAGTCCGGAAGAAGGAGTCGATGGGCATGTGGGAACTAAGTATGTGATTGCTGAACGAAAGTGAGGAAAACAAGTTCATAGGCAGTATATTGTGGACCGCAGACACACCTTAAGACCGAATAGTTCAAACATGAAGCGAGTCGAGACTTGATCGAACAGCAACTAAGCAACTCCAGAAAAGTAATGGCCAGTAGATACACCTTTCAGTAACGGACGAGTACGAACGACATCTAATTTATGCCCCCAGATCTAAGGCGGCGACTTTCTAATTAGTACAACAATATGCAGTTAGTCGATCTTCAAATAGGATCGAGGTTGACAAAAAGTGTACAACTCGAGGAAAACAACCCCTGGATTATTTTCTATGGGAAAAAAATAATTCGTTAATCGGTGTTTCTCATACTGCACTACTGAGATTACACATGAACCCCATATCAGAAAACCTATGGAGAGAGGGAGCGAAAATCAAGCAAGATAGATAACGGAAGTGATTAATTGCTGTCAAAGCACTGATTGCGGATAAACGGACCTATTCGTTTAGAACTAGAACAGAATGTGCGGTCTTCATGTGATCACTAATGAATCATTTCTATGATCCGAGAAATGCCTGCATATTCTCGCATTAAACGAATACCACCTTAGCTAGGATTGCGTGCATTTAAAGTTCACGGGAGGGAATCTGAATATCGGTCAGTATATTAAAGTTGACCCTATACCACGCTGAATAAACCTGTCATCGATTGGTGTCACCAGGACTAAGCTATGCTTGGCTTATTTGAATCAGCTTGGTTCGTCGCCTTCTCAACAGTAGACAATTATGAGTAAACAGTTCACTCCCATTTGTTACTAAGGTATGCATGGAAAAATCCACCACAATTAGAATTATCGACTTATTTACCCAAATACCCTCGCAAAGGTCATAAGAGTATTGGCACTGAGGAGAACGTAATGTGGCATATGAAATGCTATACGGTTATATGCGAACAGTGGATAAAACAAAAGAGAAGCAAGCACATACTAGTAAGTGCACTTTTGTTCAGACCCAATTTGGAAATGATGTACAGCGGGACGTCTGCCGTAACAATCTTTCCATACACTTGAGCTGCAGTGTCACCACTATCATCGCCATCACCAGACGGAGCGCCAACCATCGATGCAGTAGCACTGGTGGATGAAGCATGTCGACGAACTTGGTCCTCAGCGACCTCGAGCATCTGATAAAACTCGCACGGATCAAACTCCAAGCACTCGAGCAATCGGGCGGGACGTGCAATGATCAACAACAACCGCCGAATCAAATTGACAATGAGCGGAACCGAATCGGGATCTCGAACACGGGTCTTGAAGAGTGAGAAAAACAGAATTCGTTAACTGTGTCAGTGAATAAATAGTGCGTGCATGATAAATTCCTCTTTTTCGAAGAAGTGTAAATAGCGTGAAATGAATGGAAAAGAGCAGAACATTCTCTTGAGGAGACAGTAAAGAAAATCGCTAGCGAAAATGGGGGAATTCAATTTTTCCAGCTGACAGTTAAATGCTATCCTGCAGTAGATCAGAAATTTACGAAGAGCACTACGAAATCAATTTTGTGATCAAATGCAACTGATCACGGATACGGTGTATCGAATTAGATTTAAAAACATGAATTTTCAGTGTATTTCAGTATTTCTGTGTACCGTAACAACATGCGGCAAGCTAAAGGCTGAGATGAACGTTGGTATGAGATAAATGAACTGAGAGTCTTCTAAGAGAAAAACTGGGGAGTGCTGACTTGAGTTTCAGGCGTCAGTGAAAGTTGTCAGCTTATGAGCAAGCTTGGATTCAATGTAAGGCAACGACGCTATCAGTGCTACACTTGAACTCGAGTCTGAATGACAGATTGATAAACACTGTGAAAGATGCTATGAAAAATAGATTGTGACAAGACAAATTGTGCGCGCATCAATTAGGACTAAAACTCCAACTAGTAAATCAAAGCTTACGTCTTCAACCAGCTTCTCCAGATTCTCAGTCATCTCGTAGAAATAGCGACAAGTGACCAAACCCGAAAGGGCTTTCTGCAGACAGTCTCGTACGTGTTGAACTACTTGACAACGTACGAATCGAGCCACGGCAGACCACGAAACCGTATCCTCGCGTTCCAGTTCATCAATCAACCGGGCCAAACGTTCTTGCATTTGTGCAGATGCCTGGAGAGGAATGTATGGTACAGGTGGAGGAAACGTATGGGAGCGTGTGAATTAACCCAGCAAGTGGTAAAAACGATTACTCATACAGGTCAGTTTGCCTTAGTAGAAAAATCAACACGATTTCCTGTTGCAATAATAGGTGCATTGAATACAGAAACGTGAAAATTTGCTCGAAATAGAATAAACAAAAACACCAAAGTGTACGGTGAAGCACAATGAAACATTGTTCTTTTCAAGCACCCCTTATCCGACAGAACAAATAGATAATCAGAATTAACAATCAGGGCCACGACAAACGAGTGACTGCTCATCATAATAGGAGTCAAGAAGACAACGGGAAAACCTATCTTACCAAAGAAATTTCGAAACTGCCTAATTTCCTTGAGGAACCCTGAACAGGTCGAATGTAATGAATAAATGAATAGCGCTCAAGCCCGGCTTGAGACAAAACAAAGGGGATCGCAAAACCACATGTACAAAAGACAACTATACATGCCCCACACACCGGCTACCGCGATGTTTTCCAACCCATCAACTTTTATCGAAGTGTCCGGATATAGGGATTTAAATGGCAGAACGCGACAAAAACCATACGATACTAAAATGCAATAAATCAACACAATCTGAATTGCAAGCAACCCAATTTGGATCGACTCACTTTCGGGAATCGTTCCCGGTACACATGATTCAACAACAAAATATCCTGTTCCCCTGTCCCCGTTGACCGAAGTGGGCTGCGAGAGAGAGATAATAAGAGAGAGATGCGATACAATGATAATTGAGATAATGAGGGAATATGAAGAAATCATGAAACAAAATACCAGAAATTATTGCATGATCGAAAACACATTCACAGAGCTGTGAAAACGGTTTCTGCTAAGCACACTGAAGGGTGTACCAGCGGACAGAAAATAACAGTGTTCCCTCTGTTATTCTACATCAAGCCAAATTATTTGAAATAACCTGGATAGTATCAATGATTCTATCACTCGATGCAGACTCAACATCTGTCCATTCAAAAAAATAGTATTCATTCTGTATTCATCGCGAGTTTGGGAGGGAAAATCAGCGAAGCTCTCCTAGCTGTGCTCCTCCGTATGATAATAATAGTACTACTCTAAAACTGCTTTACGAACGAAAAGAAACATATGGGGGGGGGGGAGTAATTCGATTAATTGAGTGGATAGATGTCTGAATGCTATTGTTCAAAACGCGCAGTCAAAAAATGATACGGCAACCCATCAAACGGGCTGATTTTCTGTAGTCTAAATGATAAGCCAAAGAAAACCATTGGTAAATTCAATGTCTGGAGTTCTCTTTTGATCATCGAACTTAGTGCGATGGACATAAAGAAAAACCCTTAGTGAAGGTGGGACCAGATGTTTAGTTGTGAATCGCTTACCGACATCCTGGGATAAAAAATGGCGATTCACAAAAAATCAAAACTGGGTCAATTTCTGCATCATGTCTACAAACATTAAGCGGGCGGTTCACTTGCGTTTGCACAAAATCATTATTGTTGAACGATGCACTTCTTAGAAGAATTAACGGGAGTGAATAATTCTTTAACCACAAAGAATATGGTCAATTTTCCGTGTATTCCATTGAGAACGCAGAGCACAATAACATTGAGCAGTGAAAACAGTTATATCAAAGCAGAAAAGTGAATAATTTTGTAAACCGATCGATGATTTCTTAAGCAAGTGATACTGTGTAATTTCTCATTTTGATCGATAAAAACAGTTCGGTCCAGATCCGATCACCTGAACATGAGACTAGTTACTGAAGTTGACTAGCAATTCCAACATGATTGTTAGAATAAATAAGCCATTCCGAGCTGTTCCCATGAAATCGACAGGTGCCCTTTGATTAAACGAAACGAGGAGACTAGGTAAAATTGATCTGTGATTTGGAGAAACCGTAATCGCTACATCGTTAGATCAACTGTCTGAAGGATTATTTGGATTCACTTATAAAGGACCAGGCGTTCTTGGCTTTGAAGTTGCCAGAAATTCAACAGAGAAAGAACAAATCTCCATATAATGATGTGAGCCCGTAATCTTTCTCACCTCCATGAAGACAGTGGATCCAATAGTGGAGACTTAGTAGCGAATTGGGCCTAAATCATGATTAAAAATAACGATTGAAATGGTTGTGTTATACAACACCGCGCTAGTAAATGTATTCAGTCTACAAATACAACCAATTCACTTAGAAAATGCCCATATCTTGACAACACATTGAGCTTATCGTTTCATCTCACACTTCGTTTATGGGTCAACTAACTAGCTAATCGAAATACAGTTATCAAAACCAGAACACCCGAGTGCTACGTTATCAGGCATACAGATATCAATGCTATCTCCATTTTTCCTGGTTATTGGGATGCACAAACTTATTTGTGCATGGTTGTGATAGTTCAATTAAACTATAGGTAAGCAACAGTTGTCAAAAGACAAAGCACAGAGTTAACTACAGATGGAAAGTTGCCATGTCATCCGGTGCACAAACATTACACGCGTACACCTTTTCCCATGTAACATGTGAGCTGCATTTTTTGAGATGTCACATGAGGATGTTGATGGTCTGGTCAAGTGGCGGGCGGTAAAAATGAAACAGAATTATCGACAAACGGAAGAGAGCTTACAAGGGTGTGACACTGACGAGATGCATGCTTCTACGAAGAGTAACGCGGTAAGAATAGTAGTGATAGTACGAGTGGAAGTTTGATTACTAGTTGCACTTATAGCAGCAGCAAGACTTGAGTCTGTGGCATGATAGCTGAAGAACCGAGTCTCCGATCGCTGGCCTCGACGCGCAAGCTATCGATTGTTCAGAATGAAGTATATTTCGCTTGAACTTTAAGTTTGAAGACTATGGTATGAAGAAATGCACAATGCGACTAGATAGAGTAAGTGTTTCGTGCTTACCAGGTTGGGGTGCGAAACACCGCAATTAGTTGGTTGGAGACATTGAAGAATATGGCAGCGAACCGACAGCAGTGGTGTTCTTGTTACCATTCCTTATCAGACCAGAACGCTTGAAACGGCATGTATGCACAGTTATATTTTGTACTCTAAGTACTGACCATAGAGGTTCACCTTCTTCACCCTCCCTCAGAAAAGGGTCCATTCCCTGTCCACCTTAAATTTTACCACTAACCTTGTATGCATTGGGAGTTAGGCAGCGAGCAAAGAAGTTCGCTTCACTGTATCACTATCTCATCAATCAAAATATTCCACTCAAGAATATTCGGAATATGTGAGGCAAAGATCTATGCAATGCCATATCTGACAAAGCTGATTTGTTGTCGAAATGCGCATTTGCTACGTCAAACCAACAAGAATTGACATTCGTATATCATGAGATGAACAGATCTCAAGAACAAAATAGATTGTAGACATGGAAACGAGAGGTTTAAAGAGTTTCAGATCACTTCAGTTTCTACAGTTATTACCTTTGACATCTGTGTGTTGTTTCTGATTGCTGAATGAGATGACTGAGTATTGTGAGCAGTGATGCCAGTGCATCTACCCACACTCTACGCATTTCTGGTGTACCAATGGTATGCACTGTTAATTTGCTAGTGCTCTCAGCTTGCTACTCCTTCCTTGTTGAATCAAATGAGTAACAAAAAAACAAAAGAATTTAGCAAACACGCGTTGCCAAGTCACGTATGATGACATCAGGGAACACACCCCGTGACCCCCCATAGTGAAATTATTCCGAAATATTCTCAATGAGGGTAAAACGCATTATTGGAGGCAGAGATATAAAATCCTAAGGTGAATTAGGACGTCATACTTGAACCTCCAGTTAAAACAGCTTTTGCCCCCACTAATTATATATATATATAACTTATTTTGGTATTGTATTTTGAGTCAAATGATTGGTGGAAGAAAAATCATTATAACAAAGAAAGCAGTCAATGACTGACTCTTGGGCAGAATACCGCACACAACCATGAACCATGAATCTTACTCTTACGACTATGTATTCTGACGCTTCT